GAAAGAGAAGAAATTAAGTAATATTTATGTATTTTTGGCCAGCGGAAACTCAAAGCAATTGAGCGCTGCCCACGCACGCCTTTCGCCTTTCGCCTTTCAGCCATTCGGGCAACCATTAATAAAACGAGATTTGCTGCAGGACACAATGCCAATGGCAGGACACTCAAGCAGCTCCTCAGATTAATCTCACACGTTCGCCACGCTGTCTGCGATTTCAATTAAAGCCGCGTCCAAGCACAAGCAGCAAAGCTGAGCAAAACTTATGAAGATGAATGCCATTCGTCAAATGTTTGTCAATGGGGTAGACGGAGCGGCCAGGGCCATGCCACGCCCCCCACCTACCTGAGCTGTCTCTTAGAAATTGCTCAATTACGAAATTAAATTTAATGCCCAGGCTTTTGATCGCACTAAAAGCTTTAATAACTGTAAATTGCTTTCACAAAATTTTTGACACACTCCCTGGGCAGGTCCCAGGTCGAGCCACGAGTCGAGAAGCCCCCAAGAAAAAAAAAACTCTCAACTGACTCTCACTCTCACTTACACTCACTCTCACTGTCATTCTACCTCTCCCTTCCACTCACACTCTCACTCTGCCTCTGTCTCTGTCTCTCGCCTGCATACCCAGGTGTAACCTGTCGTCGGGCTTTTCGGGCCTCTGGTATTTCGCTTTGCTCTCGACGGCGCGTGACCAAATATTTTAAGGACACTTCGAGCAGCACTTGAAGCACGAATTCGAATTGAAGCGTTATCGAGCTGCATGCCAAGGCAATATATACTTATGGTACATACATACACACACACACACACTCGATATACATACATACATATCTATATATAACCGTGCCCCACAAAAATCCAATTAAAGTAAAAAAATTGAATGCGAAACGCGCCACGAGCTCAGCCATTAACTAATTCAGAAATCGGCTTAAAAAAAAAATGTTAGGCTTGTAATTTTTGCACCTGCCCCAACAGCCAAAAGAAAAAATCGAAAAGGGCTACCTTAAGGGCAAAAAGCCGCTTAACGGCATTTGTGCGCGCCTCTGCTTATGAAAAATCGCGTGAAAATTCATTTTGTATTCATTTTCCCATTTGAATATGCTGCTGGCAGGAGCAGCTTAAAGCAGCAGCAGCAACAGCAGCAACAACAACAACAACAGCTTCATCAACTTGTCTGTAATTCAATTAACACATAAGCAAATTAATTTGTCAAGTCTCAAACTCTAACTCAGTTAAATGTGAAAATTTTTAACTCAATTGGCGCACAGCAAATCATTTATTTTAGCAGCCCAAAGCAAACAACTGCAATTGTATTTTCAGCAAAATTTGTTGGCATAAAAAGCTTATGCTGAAGACTGAATAAATAATAAATAATCTACTTATATATTCTTTGGCCAATCCACAAATGGTGCAGAAATCAATGTATAAAGTGTAAAAGTTGTAAAGCAACTGATTTATGCTTAAAGTTTCAGAGTAATCATAACAGTTTACATTACAGTTTAAGAGTCATCACTTTGCATATATAGTAAATGCTAAACTACAGTGCACTGTTAAGAGACTCAGGCTCACGCAATCGTGGTGACTTTTATACATATGCATATGTATATACATAGAAGTGGATCACACATACAAATATATCTGCAATTTCTGTTTGACTTGCATATTATCGAAAGTTTCTGCACATTCTACAGAAATCAAGCATTACAGTTTACAAACAACTGCTTTTACATTAACAGTCATAGTCAAACAAATACACTGTTAACACAAACAAATTCGTTAAATTGCAGAGCATTTGCTGTGTCGACTTACAGCGTAGCAAATTTGCAAATTATTCTTATTTAGAATTCTTTGTTAATTTCTGCGCTTCAAGCTTCAAAAGTTTTTAACAAAGTCCTAAAAGATGCCCCAAAACTTTGCACCAATTTTACGTTGTCTAGCGCGCACGCAACAATTATTTAAAGCATACTTTTGCGCTGACCCACAAAATACAATTCGATTTAGGTAAAGCTTAAAGCACTCGCTCTCTCTCTCCCTCTCGCTCGCTCTCTTTATCTTATATTATGATCGCTGCTCGCGCTGCTTTCACTGTTTTTTCGTTAGTTGCTTTTCGCACTTCACACTGAGAGGTTTTGCGTTCTGTTTATTTGTTGTGGCCGGCAATTTATCAAAATGAGCACCGGGTAAGGTCAACATTGCTTGTTTTTGCCGCATGCAATGAAGTAATCAACATTAACTATGTTTTGTTTCTATCTAATGCTCATTTTTTAATATACAGATTAGTGAATAAACCAGTTCTCTACTATGCGCCACGCAGCCCGCCCTGTCGCTCAGTTCTGCTCACAGCCGCTGCGTTGGGAATCGAACTGGATTTACGGTAGGTTTTCGATATCGAAAATAGTTTGGTGACTTTCGTATGCTCTTGGCGGTCGAATAGTTCGAAAAGTAAATGTTGTGCGTGAATGTGGTATGAAGTTAGAATTCTCTCTTAGAATGCAATGCAATCAACAGTGTTCTGTTAAGCAACTGTTATGTTATTAGCAGTTGCATATTAAAGTCGTGCACTTTACTAGGATTTTACATGCATTTAATAAAGCTAAAAATAAACTTTTAAAATTTTAAAGTGTAATGCAAAACAAAAATGAACACAAATGTTGACTTAGTTGCATTTACATCGCATTAAAATCCATCTAACTCCCTCTCTCGTCTTCTCTCCCTCTGCAGCACCGTGAACGTAAAGGCCGGCGAGCATATGACAGCGGAGTTTCTCAAACTCAATCCACAGCACACAATTCCCGTGCTGGATGACAATGGAGTCGTGGTGAGCGACTCCCATGTGATCTGCACTTATCTGGCGGACAAGTACGCTGGCGTAGATGATTCGCTCTATCCCAAGAACGAAGCGCAGCGTCGCCTGATCGATGCGCGGCTCTACTACGACTGCGGACACCTGTTTCCACGTGTGCGCTTCATTGTGGAGCCCGTGATTTACTTTGGCGTGACGCAGATACCCGAAGATCGCATAAGCTACATGCAGAAGGCCTATGACGGACTGGAGCACTGCCTGGCTGCAGGCGCCTATCTGGCCGGCGATAAGTTGACCATTGCGGATCTGTGCAGTGTGGCGACGGTGAGCACAGCGGCGTCCTTTGCGCCCATAGACGAAGCCAAGTATCCCAAGCTAACTGCATGGCTAAAGCGCATGGAGGCGCTGCCCTACTACGAGGCGAACAATCAGCAGGGTCTCGATATGCTGGTCAAAGTGGTCAAGGGTCTGCTGGCCGAGCAGTAGACCTGAATGGCCGGACATCAATCAATATTGGCAATAATACACGATATGTTTTCTTTGTCGCCCAAACCACTGTTTTTCTCTGTCTACTGCTTTCTGTCTCACTCACACTCTCTCTCGATACACAATAAGTTTCATTTGAGCTGGCCGCGGGGTTGGGCCAAGTTTTTTGTGGCCAGAGGATATATAATAGCAAGAGGGAAGTGGCATCGCAGCTGTTGGCGAAGTAATGGCAAAAGTTTTTTTTTTATGGGCTTCAGGGCTAACAACTTGCTGCATAGACTGTTTGAGCGAAATATAAGCCAAAGTTTTTGGACGTCTTTTGTTGTTGGCCGTTGCCTTTGCCGTTGCCGTTTGCCCTTTCCCATGCTGCTTGTTAGTCATTGATTACGAGTTGTAAGTGATCGCATTTATAGTTGTTAAGCTTGTTAAGAATGTCCTGCGGCCACAAAGGCAACGCTTCACTGTGATTGATTCCGTCAGGCAGCGCGACAACAAAGGCGATAAGCGAAATAGATAACAACTGGGAGCTAAGTCCCCGTCTGCCTGGGCTTGCTAACTTTAATGAGGCCATCAGCTGATAATTATGTGTCTGCTCTGCTGCGGCAGGTGAGACGCGTTTGCAGCTGCACTTCACTAGCCATAAAACGTTTTTCTGCGCTCAGTAACAGTTTGTGAGGCAGCGAGATTTTATGGCGCCGCCTGAAAGTATGCACTAAAAAGTGCGAACCATAAACTCGAGCTGCTTTCTTTGTTGTTCGATTTACAAGATGTATTTAAGACTTTCTTATCTATGATAAAAGCATTAAACTATTATTTAACAAGATTTGTGAGAGCTAAACAAGCTTAGTTTTCAGAGTCCTCAATGACTCTATATGCACCTAAAATTTTAGTCTACTTTACTCAAGTCTTGACTTTGTGAATTACATCACAAATTCCCCTTTCAAAAGCGAATATATACTAAATATATAATATAATATATTTCTAAGCTATTTTCTTAGGCACTTGTGTCACTTAAGCAAGTGAAATTCTGCAGTCACCAAGCATTTGCCATTTAGCTGCCGGCATTTTCATGCGCCACCCGAAAGTATGCAACAAAATTTAACGTGATTTGCATTGAAACTTAAACAAACTTTGGCAGCTTATTGCTAAACATAAAAGATTATACTTGGCAAGTTCTGTGTACATAGTGAAATTTAAAACGCTTCAAAAGCTGTTTACCGGCCAAACAAGTTCAATAACCGCGCATTAATAAGAAGCTGCCAGCAAATACCAGCCACTGGCTCAAAAGCCTTCAAATTATTTGCACCCCTGAAAGTATGCTACAGATTTTGTATACATTTTCAGAGTTTCATTCTCGATTGCAGCCAAGCAAACTTTGAAAACCCTTTTGATTGCTCAACAAAATAAACTAACATTAAGCGCTATGCTTAATTGCCAGCTAATCAAGTTCATTAGTCAGCTGGCACACGTCTTGCAACATTTTAGCCATCGCTTGCAGAGTCAAGTCCAAGTTGCAAGTTGCTGTTGAACTGTAGCACCGCAAACTTTTGGCACTTTGCAGTTTTATTGTTAGCCACGTGAAGTACTTGACAACTTTAACAGCAAATAGCAGGAATAGCTGGCTAAAGCCACAAAATTGGCAGCAACAACAGCAGCCAGTACAAAGTGCTAAAACAGACTTTCTTTCATTCTTTCTTTTTTTTGGGGGGAGGGCGGGTTTTGTGCACAGCATATGCAATGTGACAGCAGCTAGAGGAAACAAACACACACACACATGGACAGAGTTAGTCAAACACACACACACACACACACACACACAGACAAGCTGACGTATACACTCAGGCATAACCTATATTAGTTTAGACCGACTTTTAGTATCCATGAGTGCAGCAGCCTAATGGCTGAACACACACACGCACACACACACACACACTCACTGCTGCTGCCATCGTTATTTGTTGTCATTTGATGTTGCACATGGCACACGCCATCGAATTAACTTGCCACGCGGCCAGAAAACAACGCAAACACTTTTTGGCTTTTGGCGCATAGTGGAAAAACTTTGCCATTTTCATTTTACGTTCTTCGTTTTTCCTGTTGTTGCCACAGTGTCGAAAATTTTTGTTCGCCAGTGTCCGTACCGCACTAAAGTTTGGGTCAACTTTCTGTTTCGTTTTTTGGCACACACTCACACACACATACACAGAGTGCTATTAACCCGACTGTTTTGTAGCTTTTGTGGTACCTCGTCTTTTATGCTGGATTAAAATTTAATACTCTGCACAACTGCAAGAACAAAATACGTGCTGAAGCTGAGACGACTGTTAATTACACTGCTGCTTAAGTTTTTTTTTTTTTTTTTTTTAATTTTGAAAAATCAGCGGATAAGCTATATTGTTGCTAAACTCAGAAAACGTAATTATATTTTTGTAAAATTTATTTACATTTTTTTAGTAGTAAAATTTTTTTTCGAGCATGATATATTCATTAAAATATAAGTGAATAATAAATATATTTTTTTTTAATATTTATTGAGTTTTTATATTACTCAAATTTATGTATTATGGCCTAATATTTCACTTGTTAATAAAAGCAAAATTAAATTGTATTAAATTGTTAAATCATTGAGAGGTAAAAAGCTCACAAGTCGTATACTTAATATCAGAAAAAGTTAAGAAAACAAGAAAGAAAGCTCTAGTCGAGACTGCTCGACTACGAGATCCCCTGAACCCTACAA